TGGTGAAATGGTAGTCCGCAAATTAGAAAACATCCTCTGTAGTTTTTTCTACAAAAGCATTTTCTCTTAATCTTTATCGGAGAAACTCTTAAATTTGCCCCCAAAATAACAAAATATGAATAGATTTATTTTTTAAAAGAAAAGAATAAATTATCTTTTTAAATCATCAATCAAAAAAATTATTTATTATTTAATGCACAATATTATCATACATCAGTTTTTTATTAAAATCATACTTAAATGACAAATAGATTTCTAACACTGGATAACATCTCACATTAAATAATAAATAATTTATCTTAATCGATAATTTAAAATAACAATTTGTTTCTTTTTTTTTTTTTTTTGACAAATCTTTCTTAGGAGCGGGTTTAGAAGTTTTGCAATTTTTATTTCCTTTAATATTCGTAGATTGCTTAAACCTATCTTATTAAGTTTGCGTGATAAATCTTGAAATTCAAATTGAGGCTACATGTTTGAGAGGAAATCTTATATCAAAATGTACTAAGATATGTGTAATTTAAATATAAAGAAAAATATTTTATTTATTATTAATTAAGTTTAGATTGAATATAAATCTTATATAATACCTAGATACTTAATTTTTATATAGTATTAAAGTTCAAGTTTAAACCTACATTAAAGATCCACCTTATACAACAAATTAAGCTTGTAGGTAATAAGAGCTTTTTTAAATTTGTAACCTAAAACTATATAACAGGACTTAAAATTAATACCAAGTACGTATGGGAAAATGACATGTTAAATCAAAATACTAATTTACCGAATTACAAAGAGAATGTTCTTTCTCCTTCATTTTCAAGAAAGAATAGGAAAGCAAAATGCAGCCCTAGAACTCTCTAGTTTCTTTATAAGCCACATTTTTATTCTCCTATTTGATTTTTTTTTTTTTTTAAATACAGCATACAATTGCAAGAGATATGTTTTTAAAATTATTGATAAAAATTAATGTTAAAGTACATAGAATCACAAGCTTCCCCAAAAACAATTCAAACCAAAACAAGATGGAAATATTCTCAACTTGATCACGATGTTTATGGCCGTATAACCAATAGTTAAGACTACATCACATATTACATGTGGTTTTTTTTAGGGTATTCAAAACTATCAACTTATAAGTTGATTTCAAACTATTAAGTAAATAAATATTAATTATTTATTAAATATTAATTAATAATTAAAATGATTAATTTTTTT